ATAATGCTACGACTGTGTTGTTTATGAGTAGCACAAAATGCATTGTGCTAGATTTAGGTTTTACATAAGCCATTTTTAATGCTTATTGCTGCAAATTACAATAATTATGTAGCACAAAAAGCAAAGCTTAGAAAATGTATATAAGCACTGCCAGTATGGTTTCACTATTAACAAATAATGATGTTTTAAAAATCAGGATGGGTGTATATCCAGCAAAGGTACACAAATTCAGAAACGTTTCCTTAATCGTACAATGAAATGCTGAATTACTAATTTTTTGAATGTGCACGTAGGTTCTGGTCCGTAATAATTGAGTAAAACATATTTTTAATCACTAGAATATCAATTGGATATACAGGGAAAGGAACAGGAAAAAGTAGTGAAGTCAAAAATTTAATCCACTGTGTAGCCTTGCAATAGTGCAATGAGTTTGTGAAGCTTATAATGTTTGTCGAGAGAGCTCATCCATCCATTTGTTTAGTTTTAAGCTTTGGATTGTGCTGCTGTACTGCCTTGATTTATTTATTTTTTATAAGGGGTTAGTGTTTATGTCCACCCTCTGTACCAGACTTGGTGAAGACTGAGTATTTACATGCACTTTTTCATGTGTTCTCTGAGCGAATAGTGGCTCAACTTGTATATGTTAGTGTTAAAAGTGAAGGCGTTTCCAAATGTGCTTGTTTCTTATTTGCCATCCGTGCTTGTACAGGCTGTTTTCTCACAGTAAAACAATAAAGTCCATTGATGGCCGACAGAGTTAGTTAATCAGAGTTGGGGTCAGGACTCACCATGGCACTGTCATTGTTTAACTGGACAGAGAAAATAGACACTGACCACACTGATAATTCAGAGTTGAGTCTGACATCACTGCTACTGTCCTACTACAGTGAAAGCATTGAAGCTGTCTGTGCTGCTGTTTATTCAACAGGGATTATTTCCTACACTTGATAAAATGCCTTTAGTTTGGTTTATGAATCTGGCTGAATAGACTTTTCTAGAAAGACATCAGTGATTCTTAAGAGCACAAATCTCCTCATCAAGTAGACTGTCAGACGCTGAGTTTTTAAATCTTAGCTTCGCAAAGTAATTTGTTCTGTGGAATAGCAAAGGGGAAACATGGCGATGTAAACGAACACACAATATTAATTTGTCATCTGTCATGGATTTCACGATCATATTTAGATATCTCTGAATGTATCAAGGTATTAGGCACTGAAATTAATAAGTAAAGCTCCTTTATAGTGAAACGGGATTTACAGGAACAGAACATGTTTGGCATTTTTCCTTTAGGAATTAATAAAATGTTTCCTTTGTAATATGACTTTTACAGTAGACTACAGTACTGTAAGGTTTTCCATTGCTGGATTTTGACAAAACAAGCATCACTGTATTCGTTAACAATGCGACCTTTGTTTATTTTATTAAAACATGCAAAGCACTGACTGCTTCTTCTTGATTATTATTCACTGAGAGGGACACAGACTTTCACATGGCTGTGGAAATAATAAAAAATACTACATCATAAATTTCAGAGCAGAGGATTAAAGGACAATGGCACTGTAGCACTGAAGTGACTGTTTTTCTGGTAACTTCAGCTGGTGTAAGTTTGTAAGGCATAACCGTGGAGCTGTGTCATTAGATAATTGTTAACTTGACTCCCATTCCCTGGATTAATAATCCATCCATCCATTCGCTTATCCTTTCCAGGGTCGCAGGGCGTGCTTGAGCCTATCCCAGCTGTCATAGGGCGAGAGGCGGGGTACACCCTGGACAGGTCGCTAGTCTGTCGCAGGGCTAACACATAGAGACACAGACAACCATTCGTACTCACATTCACTCACAGATTCAGATTCAATTTAGATTAATCAATTAACCTATCCCCCTTAACTGCATGTCTTTGGAGGGTGGGAGGAAGCTGGAGAACCCACGCAAACATGGGGAAAACATGCGAACTCCACTCAGAAAGACCCCGGCCTGATGGTGGAATTGAACTCAGGACCTTCTTGCTGTGCGGCAACAGTGCTAACCACTGTGCTGCCCTCTGTAGTGCACTGTCCAGTACACAGTAGTGTAGAGAAATCAACTACAGCCACTACAAGAGTGTCAAGTTGGGCTCACACTTGGGAACAAGAAGATACAGTAGTGTGAGACGTTTACTGCAAAAGAAAAAGATCGTGGCTTGGATTAAAATGGACCCTCTTAACAATGTTAACCACGTGTTAAATCTGATTTAAAAAAAGCTTTTTTTAACCATTTAAAGACAACCTTCTTCTCTGCAAAAAATAGGTTTATCTGCATACACATATTCCTTTACAGTGCACCTACTACATGATATAAATGATTGTGTTCTACATGACGCTTTTACATTATTTTTAAGGTAATAAGTACTTTATTTATCCCAAAATTTGGGATAGTACTCAACTACTTTAAGGATGAGGCTTTTCATCCGTACTGTAGTTTTTGACTAGTCTTTTTATCCTGAGCCATTATAAACAAGACATCACATCATTCCGATTCCTCAGTTGCAGTGATGGTCCTGGAGCAACATTGGTTGTGACACGGCCGTCTCAGATCGTTCCACCTGTTAATTCTGCTCATTTATAATGCTGATAACACTGACCAGTGATTCAGCTACTAAAAGATCCAAGCATGATGATGCTGGTCACAAAAGATCCTTTAAATGTTAGATGTTGTTTATTTAATTAATTTATTTCATTCCAGAATTAGTTTAGGTGTGAAAAATGTAAACTATAAATTTCCAGTAAAATTCTTCTTATAGTTTCTGCTTTAATTGACTACAGTGTAAGTAAGCAGTGAGCCCTCGGTGACTTTGTTTGGATTGAGATCCGGTGCATGGGGATTTCTGTTTGCGACTTTATTAAATGCACCCAAATATGATGGCATTTTGGGAATGGATTGCTCGCAAGCAATAAGAGTGGTCCTTACTTTACTGATGCAGTTCCACTCATGGGGTTTAAAAGACAAAAATATTTTAAGAGAATGTTGTTTTATATATGATGGTGTGCTGATGTAACAAAAGCTTTAATATTTTATACTGCGGGCACATCAGAATTAGTCAGCCTATCAGAGCTCTCTACTGTGGGGAATAGCCCTGAATAACAGCTCCATTCCCAGCTCAGCAGACAGTGTCATTAGAGCACACCGAGCCTCAGAAACATCATCTTCCACCATGGGACCACCCAGTGGTATGACTCAAACTCCCAGAGACGGTTACTTTCATCTTATCGTGATCCACTAAGAGGAATAAAAAGCATCACTTTGCTCGTGTATTGCTGCCGTATACAGACAGTTTGATGATTTATCATGTTTTCTTCATGCGAGTATTTTTACTCGTGGTTTAAATCTTAGACGGCCTTGTGTAATAAAATTTCCTCCTCCCTTATCTATTTATCTCGAGTATCATTTTCAAAATGGCAGAAAGGAAAGCAAAAAAGAATCGGCGTTTCCTTTGCGGGGCAGGTGTGGGACTGAACAGTGCTTGGTAAAGACTTGTTTATTACAGGGTATTTGTGGGCTGGATGTACCTTGAGGGATAGGCTGTGTGCTTGCATACTGCATGGGCTGAGGAAAATAAACATGAAAGAGTCTTTTTGTACTCCTCGCTCGACTAGAACAGTGACTTTAAACTATGTAAGAAGCACAATTACTGCACCCGTCAACTCAAAAGCAATTCAGTCATCCCCTGACGACAGAGATTAACATTTGTATTTTTGCCCATACACCTATATCATATGTCCAGTCTTGATTAAATGTAAGTAGTAATGTTAGTAGTGAGTGCATTATCAGATTGAATATTCGGTTTGTTTTTAGTGTTAATTAATCTGAAACTATTCAACCATCCAACAAGCAGTTCTGAAGGATTATACTGATAGCTTTAGTTGTGTTATAAGGTAGCGATTTCTTTTCAGGTTTGAACTCCTGCTTAATTCAGTGAGGTTCAACTGAATGTGGCCTGCAGTGCTTCACACTGGTGCAAGGGTTGCGTGTTACATTCAAGTCTCTTGTTTAAGCCGGGTTTTGCAGTACCTCCCGTGTGTGTGTAAATGCTCCTGTACTGATCACAGATGGGTTGCAACTTCCATCAACCATCTGGCACGTCATCTCATCTCCCTTCAATAAAGTCAAAGACACAAAGACACACCAGACATGCCTCCATTGTCTGGTGTCAGCTTCCTCCTATAAAGTCTTCTCAATACAAAGTAAAACACAGCAAACCGCTAATCATTAACTCCAACAGGAGATCAGGCTCAGGGCAGTTGGGCCAGCAAGAAACACAATGATCAGACTTCTAATGAGCATTTCTTTCAGAATTATGTCAAATATACTGACTTTCAGGTATAAGCTCCAGCTTTATTTTGTCTCAAATTAAAAGGCATTTGTTGTACTACGGTTAAACCGAACGGCACCTCAAAATGCAGTGTAGCTTCCAAGCAGTGAGCATGCATGCTTTAACAATCGATAACAATTTAGTTAGGATCCCTTTGGCAAAACGACTCTAATAGTATTATGTCAGTCCATTTTACAATTTCAAACTCACCATGAAGAAATTGAGAGATTGATAACACTATCAGGACTGGTGTATTGCTAAAGGTGACCTTTTTTCATCTTAGCGAGCAGCACTTTCCCATGAGACGGAGCGATGGCTCAAGATGCAAAGCCTTGATTTAATTTCCTGACGTAATATTCACAGCCACTCAACAGACACTGCGCTGCCAGTGATGGCTCTGAATTACAATCACACCCTCTTCATTTCAGAACACTTTGCTGTGGCTGGTCATCATCTCAAAAAGCTGAATGAATCTTGCAGCGCTGGCTGCATTTCTAACATTAATGACAGATTTTTCAGTTGAGAGAGAGAAGTATATTGAACATGTTGCGCAAGGAGGAAAAGTCTTATTGTACTGTCATTCTATCCTAAAGATAAGGGTTGACTTCAGAAGCTTATTATTAAACTATTTCGTTTTTTTCCCTACCCCTAGGTACAACCCGCCCCCCTAGAGACGGAGAGGTCCCAGGGGTGGATTACAATTTCCTGTCTGTGGAGGAGTTCCTAGAACTTGAGGAGAGTGGCACGCTACTGGAAATAGGAACATATGAAGGTGAGGAGGAGGAGGGTGATGATGATGATAATGATCATAACCGGCACTTCATGTGACTCATGATTGCGCAGGTGTCCTCATTCTCCACAGATACAATGAGCATAGCAGCCATCACACTGTTTCCTACATGTAGGCAGGCTACAAAAGCATGCATTCAGTTGATTCTGATTATACAGTGCATGATGGGAGGAGATCCATCAGGAGACAGCAGGTCACTCCACATCTGGCCCTCTCACTCTGATTAGGACGGTGCCGTGTAGCGCTAAGTCTCATACTAACACAAACCTGTGTGTTTGTGTGCGTTGTTGCGGGCGCGTGCGTGCTTGTTCACAAGGCAGTGTGTTATGCACACAGATTTGTGTGTGTGTGTGCATGGGCTTGGTTGGGAGGGAATGTTACGACATTAATCTGCTTGGCACCGACTCTGCTGTGTGTTGGCACGTTTCTTCCTTTCACGCAGACAATGTCAAATACCTATCCACAGGAGGCTGTGGCCAGCCACGCTAGTAGATGAAGATTGGATGATTGATTCTCAGCAAAATCTGTTTGAGTTCAATGTTCAAATATCTCTAAATATAACTATAGAAATAACTTTAGAAAATGCCACTTTTTTTAAAATTTGATTTTAGTGGAAGAGTTGAAATGAAGGGAGAGGATATAACCAAATTTAAATGATGGCTTGACCATCTGCCAGATGTTCTTATCTTCCTTTTAAGTTTAAAGATAGAAGAGTCATACGGGTCACATGCATGAAAATGTAAAGCTATCGAATCCACATGGGTAGCTTAGCATAAAGGGGGGGGGGGGATTCAGAATTGCAGTTTGTTTCTGGATAGGGCAGGTTACCCGTTTCTCCCTGCTTCCAGTCTTAAGTCAAAGCTCATCAAACTGGCTATGGGGTGTAACATACTGTATTGATTTATTGAGTTTTGCAAGAAAGACAATGAGTATATTTTTATCAGGCAGGCAAGCAATAATTCACTGCTTCTGGTAATAGCTGGAAGTGGTTCTTGTTTACGGTCAGTTGCTTTTTTTGTCTTTTACATCTCAGATGGGCTTGTAGGTGGGGGATTTTTTTAAAAAAAAAAATTGTAACCCATGGACGGAGCTAGTTTAGTTGTTTTTCTTTTCTAATGCCAAGCTGCGCTAACTGGTTCCCCAGGCCAGTTTCAACTGCAGAGTAGTTAATTGATTGAATGTATGGCTATTGAGTTCACACTGGCATTATGTGGTGTACATAACACTATACAGCATATACATTATATACTAACTTGAAGAGTACTTTGAGGACTCAGTTTCCCAAAAAACCCAGACCTTGTGATCAGACCAGCGTTATATTGAACAAGCTGTTTCTTTGTTTGTGATAGATTTTGCTTAATCTTTGACAATTAAACACTAAGTAGCTTGTCACACAATACTAAAAACATACTCAAGGATGTAATATTGATTCCCACTTCCCCAAAACAATTTTTTTGGAGCTAAAAAGTGACTAAAACAAGCTGTGTGCTGAGCTGGTCCACAGATTTGATCGCTATGCTTTAAAGCCTCAAATCCAAACTAAAATCTTTTAGCTTTCCAACCAGATTCTTATTTCTGCAATTTCTAGTCACATTGTGGTCCAGGTTTATGTCTTTTCCTCCTAGCGTAAGATTAGGAGGTTTCATAGATGCTCTTCCTGCTTATCTTCCTGTCCCCAACTCTTTCATTTTTATCCCCGTCTTCCTTTCTCTGTTTCTCGCTCTCCCTCCTTCTGCGTCTCTCTCAAGCATACTAATGTCCTCCTTGTTGCCTAGGTAACTATTATGGGACCCCCAAGCCGCCAAGGCAGCCCATCATTGGGACAGTGATTCTCAGTGATGCAGGCTCCCATCAGTCCACCCCAACACGCACCAAGTCCTACAATGACATGCAAAACGCCCGCGTAGTGCCTGCTGACGACGACGATGACGACCAGGCCACGGAAATGAACAACAGTTTTACAGGTGAGGGCAACGCTGCTGATCCCAAAGTTTGGAAATCCAGCTTTCTTGGTTTCCGCATGTGTAGCATTCCCCGCGTGTGCTTTGCTTCTTCTCCACTGGATGTTTGTTTAAGCGTGTCTCGGTAAACATGTATGTGCCCAAGATTAGGAACACAGAAGGAAAGAGATAATGTGTGTATGTTTATTATCCTCTCCTCTGCTGTACGGTGATGGGTGTCTGGCGGTTACATCATGTCTTTGTGATGCTGATTCCTTTTCTGTGAGCCTCCAAACACTGCCATCTGCCTGTGAGGAGGGGTGTAGTGGGGGAAGGTTTAGATTACAAACTGCACTCAGTGTTCAGAATTTTCTCCTTGCCACCACCTTGCTCTGGTTTCAATAACTAAATTATTTTTTTAAAGCTTTCTCACTAAATTGCCCCTAACATTTACTCACATACCAATTCTGAATATTTGTCCCTTGGCTGATTGAAATCATGTTTATGCCTGCTGATTCTCAGCATATGTCAAGAGATTAGCTGCCGTTATAAACTAATTCCTAAACAAAAAAACTAAAGAATGAGCCAAAGTTTTTCACGATTTTCTTTCTTCTGAGGGGGTTTATCCTGTTTTGAGTGCAAGACATGGTGTCTTTTTTTTTTTTACTTGATCCTGTGAAACTATGCCCTCTCTGTGTCCCCCTGCTAGGCTGCCAAAGTGTTGAATTTGCATTTGATCAACCCTGAAAAGCCCACGGAAGTGGTGGAGGATATTTGGCCAAAATTGGGGAAGGAATGGGAATGGGGGTTGGGATTGACTAGCTTTAGGAGAAAAAGGCCTGTGGGCAGAGAGGTAAAACGGGTGGGGGTCAAAGTGAGTTTGAGAGACAGTTGCTGAGGAAATTAGCATATTCCTGTGACCCTTTTCAATACACTAGAAATGGGCGGGAACCAAGCAGAAGAAGGGAGAAGTGCTAGCACTTTAGTGTGGCTAGAGTTGCTTGATGTGGTCTAAAGACAATAAAGACTGAGCATGTTTGCTTTTTTTAATCTCTTCCTTTCCTGCATGCATGAAATGTGATTATTTTCTTTGTTTTCTGTTGTTGTGCTGTGTTGTTGTTACGTCACCCAGGATCCTTAGTACGTAGTCTCTTTCCCTCTCCTTTGCTGTGCGCAGGTAACCCTAACGACCAGGATGAGAGCCGCAGCGGCATTCTCCGGCCGTACCCTGCACGTGACAATGCTCTATCCTGTGGTCTGAACAATGCGGCCACCTCTACCGCAGAAAGCGGGCAGCAAACCCTTGCAGAACCACAGGTCTCTCCAGAAGACCCGCTGGGACCACTGCCTGAAAACTGGGAGATGGCCTATACTGAGAACGGGGAACTTTACTTCATAGAGTATGTATCAACAGACTCTCGACGCCGCCTGTTTATACATTTTTTTTGGCCATGGCTCACGCTGTAGTCGGTGTTTTCTGCATTTTACCTGCACTATTATCCCTTTTGTTCGTCCAGTTGCTTGTCTTCCCACTTGATTTGGTTTTTAGGCCTTCCCAGCCAACCTGCCCAGCCCCCTGGGTGCTACTGCTTTCCTGTTAATCCCTGCATGTCCCGATCTCAAAAGGAGATCACATCCTGATCACCTGACTACCTCCACCTCTCTGTCCTCTCTGCAGCACGGCAAAGGCACAACACCAGGACATGGCTGTGTATTTTCAGAGCTTGTATGTTCATTTCTGCTATCACTGAATTACAGAATGTTCTTGTTTAACAATTGAGGGAAAAGTCAGGTCGCTTACTGTTTATTTCCTTGCTGTGCCTCTCTGTTCTTTTCATTTGTGTTTGCAGCACACCTTCTGTCCGCTGTAAACTTGCTGACGTGTTTTTCCTAATTCTCATTGATGCATTCGTGTCCCCCTGCTGTGCTTTTATATGTCAGTCTGACGGCCTGTGTTGAATTATTCGGTTCTCTTGTTTGCTTCCTCTCAGCCACAATACAAAGACCACATCATGGCTGGATCCTCGGTGTAGAGACAGAGCCTCCAGACCGCTGGAAGAGTGTGACGATGATGGTAAGCTTCTATTCCTCATTTATCAAATCAAAGCGTTCATCCACACTCCTGTGTAGTGGTTCAGGAACAGCAGGGGATGCTCGGGGTCTCAGAAGTGAGGCTCCTCTTGTTTATTTGGTGATGCTGTTGTTAATTTCTGGTGCTGTTTTTAGTACGTTCATTTGGTTTTGATTGAAAGATTTGTTAGAAATTGGAATGTGCTGCATTGGTCTTGTTGTTAGCTCTACTGTCATCAAAACCTGACACATAATTTTCAAATAAACAGAAAAAAACATTTTATTAATTCCAAATGACACTTTGTTTACAGCTCACTCCCAACACAAATTGCATAATTGCCCCATCAAGTGGTGAAATCTAGAATGGCACCCCAAGTCTCACTAGATTTCTCAGGGTATTTTGAGATGTTGTTATATCCCAAGACTGTCTTTTTCTAAGGGCTTTTCCTTTGTCTTTCTCTGACTGGTCACGTCATTCCTTATTTGCTTTGGATTCCTGCATCCTTGATCCACCTTCCATCTGCTATCATCCCCTTTTTTTTCCTCTTCATTTTCTCTTCTTTGTTTCATCCTGCTTTGTCCTTGGAGAAGAAGGGATACATACAGAAGACCTGGAGAGTGATCTAGGTAAGGTTTTTGGAGGTTTTATGGAGGATATTTTGCCATATTAAAATTATATTATTTCAAAGATGCCATTCAAAACTGATCATCTCAAAGAGGAAATTTAATTGGGCATCGGTTTCAAATCCAAGGCCCTGAATTCTGTAAGGAAGATATATTAATTTAGTTTAGAGCAAAGGTAGCTGCGAGGGTTTAAATGAGTTGTTTTTAAAAAAACAAACAAGCATGATGGTGTAGTGCAGGGGTGTCCAACTCCAGTCCTCGAGAGCTACTGTCCTGCAGCTTTTAGATGCATCCCTGCTCCAACACAGCTAAATCAAATGGTTGGATTACCTCTTCAGCATGCCATCAAGTTTGGTAACGGCCTGATAACAAGCTATTCATTTGATACAGGTGTGTCGGAACAAGGATGCATCTAAAAGTGCAGGACAGTAGCTCTCGAGGACTGGAGTTGGACACCCCTGCTCTAATGCAAAGTTATATTTTCATCTCATGGGTGCCGAGGGATGATGACCATATTCTACTGGATTTTGTGGAAAAAAATATGTTTTTTTTTTTCTCGAATATCTCACAACATTATCAAGTAGAGCTATTAGTAAGAATACAAATGCCAGACTCATCAGAATGGATGTTCAATCTTTAATCTGCCCGCTCCAAACTACAAAGCCTGTGTAATGTCTGATTTCACCCACGTGAGAATAGTGCAGTGAAGATGGCGTCAGTTCAAGGATGGCAAATAAATCTGTCCAGTGAACCATCATAACTTGCATCTTAGTACGTGTCGATTTTTGGCTGTTGGTTTTATATTTCTTGCTCTTCTATCTAGATATATCTCTCTAGGCTTTCGGCTTGTAATGAAACCACAGTATTTATCCATCACATGCATTACAGTGAAATATACTGTATGCTATTGTTGATCCTGAATTTTTTCCTAAGATTGTTGTTTGTTTTAGGAGATCTGAATCATGTAATCTGCATCGGATGCAATAAAACGTGATATTTTACTGCATGAACAAGAAGAGTTATTAGCCCTAAGTGCACTAGTACCATTTGTAATACGTTATACTGAGGTTTCACTGGGGACACAGGTACATATATGCACTCAGAGTTTTCTCGCAAGCAAGCAAATTGCTCAGCTGCTGATTCTCATCCCATTTGCAAGTAACACAAACAGCCATGCAATGGAACGCAAGCTCAGTCTTAAACAAGACTCTGAGTGTCTGGCTTCGAGCCTTTATTATTCCAGGCTGCTCAGATGCAGACGGTCTGTGATTATTGATTGTGAAATCTAGACTCTTATAAAAGTGTTTACTGGACTTCAGAGAAGCCCACAGGAACACAAGGAGGTAATGTCTTTGTCTGAAATCAAATACAGCGAGATAGGAGATCTGAGATGCCAACATCTTAATGGGAACATGTCAGTTTAATAGGCGCGTGGTCATGAAATGTGGTTAGGTCTGTGTAGGGGTGTGTTCACAGAGGTAGTGATGTAATGTATGGTAATACTTAGCAAAATAACTACATCATGCTTTTCAGTTATTTATTAAAAGGTCAGACTGCATTTGTAGCCACATGCCTTTGCGGTCTTGTTTGAAGCTGTTGGGTGTTATTTTCTCAGTTATTGTGTTTTGGCCATGTTGAGGATAGTAAAATTGGTTACAGGCAGCTGGAGAGATATCCAGCTTGTTATTTAATAATACTTTATTACTGGTACCCATGTATTGAAATCCTTACGATGTAAAGGGAAAAGAGAAGAGTTTGTGCTCCAAGCACAGTTTTACAAAAAGTAATAAACAGGGGTGCACATAAGTGGTCCGCAGGTGCGCATTCGCTGTCAAAATAAAAGACGCGCACCAGATAAGAAGTTGCAACGCGCGTTTGCGGATTTTCACAGCATATTCTGCACCACATCTCTCTGTGTTCATCATTTGTTTGAAGCCAGCTCACCTCCTGCAACCACTTTTCCGAGAATACGCGCTTCTTTTGCAGTTCGGACTCCTTCTGACATTTCTTTGGAGGTGGAGGAACATCACAGTAACTGCTTAAAGGAGCTTGCTTCTTCGACATCTTTAAGAGTTCGAAACAAATGTCTGTCCTCCTCCAGAAAATCTTATGTACGCAAACGCGCGTTGCAACTTCTTATCTGGTGCACGTCTTTTATTTTGACAGCGAATGTGCACCTGCGACCACTTATGTGCACCCCTGGTAATAAAGCTGAAGTTTTAACATGGACGATGAAAAGTGTTTTTCAGTGCTCAGCGGGACAAAACCAAAACTACAATTTCCTCCCCTTTTGGCATGTATGTTAAAATCCATCGTTGGGATAAAGGCAGCGTGTCCTTTCTAGTGAAATAGTTTTACTCCTATAACTGTGGGACTGAAAGACTATGTTACTCAAACCAAACTATCCCTATCCCACTGAGCTCTGCTAAAATGTAATTTTTGTCTTCAGTGCTGTGTACCTTCTCTATTTCAGAGCTGCCTCCAGGATGGGAGAGGATAGATGACCCGGTGTATGGGGTGTACTATGTAGAGTAAGTGAATCTCCTTATTGGCAGCTTGCAAAGACAAACGGGGGTTCTCCAGATGAAACACCCTTTTACAAATCTCTTCTCTGCCTAAGTGAATCTGAGACTAATCAGTCTCCAAGTTATTATCTTGTTCTCTCTCCCTCTCGCCCTCTGTCTCAGTCATATAAACAGGAAGACTCAATATGAGAACCCGGTGGTGGAGGCGCGGCGTCGAAAAATCCTTGAGCAGCAGCAACAGCCGCAGCCTCCAGAAGGTGAGCGGTATATTCGAGGTTCGTTTCCTGCCCTGGCACGGCACCATTTCTTTCTTTCTTCATGTCTGTCAGTGTCATGTCCTTATAGTTTGTCCACTACTATCCAGGGCTTTGGCCAGACTTCTTGTCTCTGAATTAATTTGACTTACTTAATGAAAATGGGGGGGCAATATAAATATATATTATTGTAATTAAAATCCAAAGGATTACAAAAGGAATCTCATAAGGACGTTTCACAAAAGTAGAACTGGCCCAAGCCAGGGGTTGTCTTTGATGTTTAGGTTTTAATTTATGTGATTTATAGTCATAAGTGCCATTTTGTATTTGATCATTTATCCTGCATTACCATGAAAAGGCAAGAATGATGTTTACTTTAGAGATTCAAAAACTTTGAGTTGGCAGTCGAGGGTGAAAAGACTGAAAGAGGTGAGGCAAAGATACATGCATGAGGATAAGGGCTCACGATGATGCACTAACAGTAATAAAATGCATTGAAACGCAGTATATTAGCAGCAAATTAACTGGCCTGCTTGCTATACTAATGCAACAGTATTCTGCCTTTATAGCCATATGCTCTATTCTTATTTCTTAGCTGTGCCAATCCACGAGCAAATTCGATTGGTTCCAGTATCTCTTCTTTTTTTTCATCTCAGAAGTAAACTTTGTCTATTATTTATTCATTCAAACTCAGATATGATCAACTCAGTTTAAGTCACTGGTGTTCAAGGTACGCAAAAAAAATCAATACAGTGGCAGACAGTCTAATGGCAACGCAACACAGACACAACTGCCGTGATTTAAAGTCGGCGTCACTGAAAGCTGCCTGTATGTCCATAAGAACAGAAGTGACTCACTCATAAGTAACTCAGCATATTTTTAAAAGTGCTACTGACTGCATGAAAACATTACTCTTCACACGCTCCACAACCCACAAAATGTGTTAACTGCATTTCACAGTTTGCATGATGTAAGTCAAAGAATAATAGAGTAACAACATCCATTTCTATTAATTGTTTTCATTTGTTTTAACAGTACTAACACTCAGACTGTGTAAAGTGTTTGTAATATGACGCTTTTGCAACAACGGATATAATTTTGCTGCATAACATTTGCTGAGATCAACAGTATGATATACACGACAAAAAAACACTAGTAGAAGTACAGATAAGTATGAATAGTACTTCCTTTCAGCTCCGTGTTTGTGTGTATTTTGCTGTTAAGTGTTTCTGTGTGCATGTGTGGCATGTAAATACACCTCTGTGTCGCGCGTGTGTGGATTAACGTTTGGATACAAATGTGTCTGTGCAGAGTGGATAGAGGAGCACTCCTCTGCAGCAGCTCCACTGGCAAACTACGCACCAAACCATCTGGAGACCTACAGGGACCCACAGGTCCCACCAGCTCTACCTCCTGTCCCTACAGGAGTCAAACGTAAATCATTATGTTTTAGACTTTATATATTATTACTATTTGTTTTTTCAAAGGAGTTGTTTCAGCTTGCTTTTTCTTTGTCTGTTTGTGGGTGGCGTTACTCAGGAGGTCATTTTTGGAGTCCATTTGGATCTGGATGTGAATCCACGAATCTTTGGAAGGATTCTATACAGTTTATAATAGAGCAAAATTGGACTTTTCACACAATCTTCAGAAAAACAAACTGAAAAAATATGATCATAAACCAATCCAGAAAGCCTTCTGGAACTGATTTCGTGTCTTTGTCGAGGGAATTTTTAGCTTTGGCTGAGAAATAGCCTTTTACTACTTTTTTTTTCATTATGCGCTCTTAAGAGTCCCAAAACTACATCCTGTACAAAATACTGTGCAGTCCACCTAATAGCCTTAAATGGTACATTTCATAGAACAGTCAGTTTCTGAGAAAACAGCTCCTTTGTCAGGGATTAAGAAATCTTGCCAATTTCCCAACTTCTGTTATTATACAAAGCATTGAAGAAAAATGTGTACCTCGACCGTCAATGCATTATTGTGAGATGGGAAGTAGTACTGTAAAAAGGCATACTGTATATTGCAAACAAATACAAACCAAAGAAAATAATAAGAAAGTAGGATTCAAAGGATGCCAGACGAACACAGTGTCCAGTTTTAAAACCCATCAAGTTGGTTTGGGATGAACTGAACAGAGCTGTGAAAGCAAAGCAACCTAATAAATGCAACACTTTTAGGAGAATTCTGCAGTAACATTAGGGGCATATTCATTCAGAATACATGTTTTAAAATGATTTTACACCGAGAAATGATGAAAGATGCATCGTGTAAATTTCAATACCAACTGGAGAAGTGGGTGTGGTTTGACCAGTAGTGTTGTTTGAGTGAAAACAGGAAAGTAATTTCGAAAACATTCATTTTTGTTTTCATTTCCACTAAAAATTACAACTGTGCCTTTTCTTTCATTTTTATAGTCATCACATATTTAACTGCAGTAAATTCATGTGACTTCTGAATCTGAAGGACAAAATTCCCGACATGCCACCTAAAAGGTATTCGTGTTCTGTAATGTATGTTATGCGGATGGATACAAGAGTTGTTTCTGCCCCACTCTGCAGGGGGGAAACCTTTCTTTACAAGAAACCCAGCAGAGCTGAAAGGAACCTTTATCAACACAAAGCTGAAGAAAAGCTGCCGCGGCTTCGGTTTTACTGTGGTTGGAGGAGACGAGCCAGATGAGTTTCTACAGATCAAAAGTCTAGTGCTGGATGGGCCTGCAGCTTTGGATGGCAAGATGGAGACAGGTGCAGTACATGACCACCATCCACAGAGGGCACTGTTTTCTTTTTAAAAACGTTGTGTTGTCGTTTCCTGAATCCATCTCTTTATTCTTTGAGTCTAACCGCCACACAGCTGTGATTAATGCCAGATATCACTAACAGTGTAATGTGAATCTGGCCTGGCAGGGGTTTTAACTGTAAACGGCAACATTACCAATATTGTGATCTTTCTTTGTGCAGGTGATGTCATAGTCAGTGTGAATGACACCATTGTGCTGGGCTACACCCATGCTCAGGTTGTAAAGATCTTCCAATCCATCCCAATCGGCTCCATGGTCGATCTGTCTTTATGTCGTGGGTACCCGCTGCCCTTTGACCCTGATGACCCCAACACTAGCCTGGTGACCTCGGTCGCAATTTTGGACAAAGAGCCTATCATCGTCAATGGACAGGAAACGTTTGACCCACCTTCCAACCAGGCCGGACCCATTAACGGCTTGCGTGAGCCACGGCCGCACAGCCCGTCAGCCGAGGTGGCGTCTAACGGCTCACACGGCTACACCAGCGATGTGGTCACCTTGGCCTCGTCCATAGCCACCCAGCCCGAGCTCATCACTATCCACATGGAGAAGGGAGACAAAGGTTTTGGCTTCACCATTGCTGACAGCCTGACAGGGGGGGGTCAGCGGGTCAAGCAAATAGTGGACTATCCGCGGTGCCGTGGCCTAAAGGAGGGAGATATTCTGATGGAGGTCAACAAAAGAAATGTCCAAAATATGAGTCACAACCAGGTGGTGGACCTGCTGAGCAAATGTCCCAGAGGCAGCGAGGTCACTATGTTGGTGCAGAGAGGTATGTATTACATGTCTTATAAATGTATATCAACAGGGGCGGAGAAACAGATGCAGGTAGTCAAGTTTTGACATGAAAGGCTATGAGATCAAATACACAAAAGAATATAGTGCTGAACAGACAACAGCTTGAGCAGTTGGCACACTAAGAGTAATAAGGGGGGGGGAGAGGCAGCAGAGACAAGTGAGGAGGAGAGTGGGTGGCAGAATGAAAATTGGACAGACCAGAGCGGATGAAATGAGAAGAGGTAAAGAGACGATGGGATGAATTAGAATGACTGTGGACGAGCAGATGAGTGTGGGAAGGAGTGGGAGGACGGGTAAGAGCTGAGATGAATGAATGAGAGGGGAGGAGAGGAGGAGCACGTTAGGTCAGGGACTCGTATATCAGAGTCGGCCTTCGCTTTTACTACCTGATGTTAGTTATTGGACATGTTGAGCGAATGGTGTGACTTCTCATCTTCCGTTTTGATGTGTTTTATTTCCAAATTACCCTGGAAATTACTTTGGTCCTGAAAGCATCCTGAAAAGTCATTGTTGAACAATTTTGCTTCTGGCTTCAGCTATAATGGTTGTTTTTTTTGAGGGGGGGTGTTGTGTTGACGTGATTGTGGCCATTTCATTTCTCAATCTGCTCCCTAGCCAATCTTGTTCCAAGATGTTGCACTTTTGACCTGAAACGACCCGGAGTTAAACGTTTCTCTCGCTGAAATGTCAACAAATCATTTTGCGTGACAGAGTTTAGAGTATTCACGTGGCTACTGAATGACATTCAAGGTCCCTCGTTTGTGTTGAGTCCTTATTGTTGTTAAATTGTCATTCATGTTGGCTGACCCAGATCTGTATTAGTGGCAGGTTGCACCCCACATCAATTATGTCCTCTAATGAGCTGACCTTGTGCACTGCAGCTGGAATAACACCACTGTATTGTGTTAAATGTCAGCATCATTATGGACCAGTGTGGGAGAGAGAATAATATGGATGCAGAGCAGTATTTCCCCCCTGACAGAGCAGAGAGGGAGAGGTGCAAAAGTAAGGAGGGAGGCCATAGGCAGTCACTGGTGACTGACAGCAACGTAGATCATCTCCATTATGTTTGATATCAACCTGCCATTACTGTTGGATCAGGTGAGTGACCAGGTGATGAAGGACAAAGTACACAACCACAGGCTGCTGCATAATACCTTTTATTAACAGCTGACATCCAGTTCAAGGTCACGGGGTACCTGGAACCTACCCCAGGTGTTATCTGGTGAAAGGTGGGGTACACCCTGAATAGGCTGCCAGTCTAGCGCAGGGCGGCTGTCTGAGAATAACATTGATAACTGTGAGATAAACCTCGTAAAAGCCTCTAAACAAAGACTGCCAGTTCAAAGCTTTGATGACAAAAGGTGACCTCGAGCAAAATTCAGAGAGAAGGACAAAACTGTTACAATGTGACTTACATCTGCAAGCATGCAGTGTGCGCTGACCAATGCAACATCTTTGAAGTATGTTTAATGCAAATTTCACTAAAGACCATCTTATGATACTATCAGAGTAGCTGTTCAAGTGACTATTGAGCACACATTATATAAATCTGCCTTTGCATTTTTCTTTCAAGTAGTCTTCAGGAATAGTTCTCTAGGCTTCTTGAAGGACACTCAAAACTCTTCTTAGGAAGTTAGTTGGCTGCCTTTTGTTCCGTTCTCTATCAAGATGATCCCACAATCTTTAAATAATGAGGTCTGGGTTCTGAGGAGGCCAATCCATGACTGATACTGTTCCATTATCAGTTTTTTCTTCTACCCAGATATGCTTTTCCTGCATTAGCAGTGTGTTTGGGATCATTATCATGTTTGAAACTTAAGCCGTTGCCACTTAGATAGATAGCACTGATCTGATGATACTTTCCTGCATCCATCGATTCTGACACCACTGGCTGAAATCCAGTCCCTAACCATGGTTCGATCTGCCTTATGTTTTACAGATGGCTATAAAGGCTACACATGGTCACACATGGCTTCTGACCTTCCATTACTGACAATGATTTGAACCAAAGTGAAAAAAAAACTGCCATTAATACCTGTTGCCACTGATTTTTCAGTCCAGATATTTGTAGTTTGGTACTTCTCAGCCATTTTTTTCTGTTTCCCTTCCTAAAGAAGTCAAGCTTCTTGACAGCCCGAGACCATTTTTGATGAGTAAACAGTAGATGGATCAAGTGAGGGGCCATAAATCCAGCAAAGATGATGAGTCACATCTTTGCTGAATTTTTTTCCTGTTTTTAGAGACATACTTGATTGTGTTCTTCTGCTGTAGATAGATGTTTGTTTGTTTTTTTCAAATTGTATTTAATTTTTTTTTTAAAGACGTGTGCCAAGCTTTGCATTAATATCTCTTTGGGAATAGCTCAATTTCTTGTGCAAAAAATCAGACCTGTTAACTTCGGGATTGTTTGTTGATTTTAGATAAAAAAAAATTGGTAACAAATGATGTGTTTTTGCAAAAAGGTTTATGGTAAAAACGCGCCTAAAGACACAATTTAACATTGGTTCTTTGCTAAGTTGTTTGACACAAATACTGGTTTATCACAGTATCCTCAGTTAGGTGCCTTTTTATACTTTAATAGTTCATAGGTCAGTATTAAGTGGCTTACCCAAAAAAAAGGAAATTCCTCAGAAAATGGTCAGGTACAAGGATGGGAAATCCTGGAGAGCTATTGCTCAAGACCACTTTAAAAATTAGAAAGTCTGATACCTTTGGAAGCAAAATGCACGTGTTTAAGAGTGTAAAAAGCCACCTTTAGTTGATCAAAAGAAAATTAACTTTGAAGGCATTTATCAAAAAGCTGTCCGTTCGATAACTAGATCACGTTAGCTGTCGATTAGGTGATTTTAAAATGCCATTATGGTAAATTATGAGTAGGTGTACGTGACAGATTAACCAATAAATATGAAAAATAGTTTATGGTTGTAACTGTTGTTCTGATCGAGATTTGTGCTCTGTTTTCTAAGACTTATGCTGTGACCTTTCAAGGATCGCTAGTAGCCAGCGCATAATTGTTCCGAAACAACAGTTATAGGAGGTAAAAAGAGTGAGATAAGAGGAAAAGCAGAGGATGAGAAATATGAGAACTGGGGATCATGTTTTGAGAAACTGGAGGTGGCGGATTAGAGGAGAGAGTGTGAGATTTGCTGAACAGCACTGAAAGTTCAGCAAGGGGAGCATATATGAGGGGATTGGTTTTTGAGATGGAGAGGAGGAGGAGGAGGAGGAACAAGGTGGACTTCAGCTAGAAGAGAAGTTTAATCGGTTCATCTGTGACTCATCAATCTGCGTCGTCTGACTCAGAGTCAGCAGAGTCCGGTCTTAGGAGAAGGCGCAAATCACAAGGTCAGAACATCACAGTGATTTATCACCAGGATTGTTTTCCATTCAAATATGACAGCTATTTTTCTGTTTCCCACGCCGGCTGCAATTTTTAGCCTGCTTTTCTTTTAATACAAAATATTCTGTGGCAAAACTAGAAATAGATCTTCATAGGTTGAGAAAATGTGCAAAACAAAACCAAACATAGTTTAAGTTTTTTTTTGTTGTTGTTTGTTTGTTGTTTTCTAAGAGTCGGATTGAGTTGTCTCTATTATCGCATATGCACAACAAAGTGAGAAAACATCTTCTGGAGTCGTACACTCGTTTGTCCCTGTCGCTCTGAGGCAGCATTGCTCTGAACTGTGTCAGGGCAGTTTGGTGGTGGTTAATGTGAGATAATGTGCACAGTGAGTTCAGAAGCTCTGTGACGGAACACATTGGGTGTGCATTTGCAATAACTGTAATGCTCCCTGCAGTGACATAACAGTGAAATGAGCAGAGCCACATTGGCAATCGCTGCTCCTCCAAATGTGTAGTTCTCGAACATCTCGAGCAGAGGATTTCAAAGTTCTGGTGACTGATTTTTAAAGAGCCTTCTGAATGGCTTCACAGAATAAAAATGCTTCATGTAAAACAAAAAAACTTTAGGTGTAGGTGGATGGTGGTTTATTTTGGACATTGTAGGTTTTAAGGTTGTTGTTTTTTTAACATTAGGGATGTGGTTGTTGCAGTGTTTTAATGTCTGCTGTATTTCTGAGATGGGAAGGTTCACTTTGCTGTGAAGACTAAAACAGATGTGAAGTAAAAACACTCCTTTAGTCACCACCTGTGCTGCTAGATAGTAACACGACATGAACTATGGATGATTAAAATGATCTTTCCTCACTACACTCTTGCTCCACTATCGGCCTTACGGGCTACACTTTGAGGAGTCTAGATCTAGAGGAAGGCAGAATGTGTGTGCAATTAAAATTAGACGTGCAAAAGTACCCTGTACAGGTGAAGGAAGTACATGTTAAACTCCTGCATAGCAGAAGATATTAAAAATCCAAAACATAGTTGTGGATAGTGTTCTCGAGCCAGGCGGGTATTTTCCTAAATTCTAGTCTAATATCTACTAGTATAGGTTTTTATCACTTTACCTGCCCTGATCTAAAACCACTGTACAAATAAATCCACTCTCATGTGACTAATGTGCAATGAGGAAGTGTGGATTGCAAGATATACCTTTTAGCATTTTAATACATTTAAAAAAAAATTTCTTAGAAAACTTTAAAGATAACATCTGGTGTTCTCAACTGCATGATTCTTCTATGTAAAGGAGGCCAGGCCAACTATGACTCCTCCATCTTGTCTTCCCATCGTTGTTGCCATGACAATCGTGCACAGAGCTCCTGTCCCCTGAGAGACAGAGAGAAAGACGAGAGAAAATGAAAACCCGGAAGAAAGGAGAAATAAAAATGGAGAGGAAATAAAGGCATTAGAAGGAAAATGCAATAAGAGATGAAGAGGAAGTGAAGGCAATATCATTTAGGGTAGATGAATGGAGAGAACCCCATTGGATAATGGGACAATTCTTATATGTAGTGAAAGGACAAATATTTACAGATTTGTCTCAGCTAAAGAGCATTACTCATGCTGTACACCCTCTGACCATGTTTATAGAAAACCTGGAGGAAGGACCATTCGCACTCTTCACTCTGTGTGGGCTCTGCATAGACCCACCAAGGCCACAGCATCAGTTGCACATTGAAATAGTGGGCCATTCACAGTGCTGCAGATTCAGTTTAAAAAAAGCCCTCAAGCTTTTTCACTGCCTGTCACTCCAAGATAAAAGAACGCTCCCCCCTGCATGCATACTTACTACCTACATGACAATGGGGGGAGGGGGGCGGGGGTAAACCTTATCTCAGGTCAAACCTACTCCATCATACAGAGGATTTTCTTTTACATGCATACTTTCAGTAGCACAGTGGCGC